GGTTTTTGTCCACATCTGAGACATAATTGCTCAGTGTTTCCAAAGCTCTGTCTTAGTGATTTTTCCTGCTGCTGAGATAAAACACCCTGACAGAAACAGCTCAAGGGAGAGAAGGCTGGTTCAGTTCACATCTCCAGGGAAGAGTCCATCACAGTGGGCAAGCACTGACAGCAGGGGCTTGAGGCAGCTACGTAGCCAGGAAGCAAAGAACAATGACATCTACCGATCAATCTATCATCATATATCTACCTATCTACCTATCATCTCTATCTATCACACATCAGTTATCAGATTGCACCCCCCCCCCAGGAGGACCATGACCATATCACTCTTCCTCACTTTAGAGGACTCTGGGACCAACCCCAATGTCTCAAGGTTGTAACAGACTTTATCGGATCACCAGCTCCCAAATTATGACAAAGAGACTTATCATTAGTTATGAATGTTTGACCTTACCGTATGATTATCCCACTAGCTCTTATAACTTAACTTAACCTGTTTCTCTTCACCTATGTCTTGTCTTTGGGGATTTTTACCTTTCGTTCTGTATGTTCTACTCCATGGCTGGTGACTGGCAGTTGCCTGGATGTCTGGTCCCAGGCATCTTCCTCTCTTTCTTCCTCGTTCTTTAACTTATTGAATCTAAATTCCTCCTCCTACTTATTCTCTCTGCCCACCAGCCCTGCCTATCCCTCTATTGTTGTAGGAGGCTGCTTGTTTGTCCCAGCCACCCAGAACCTAAATAACCACACAGAAACTATATTAATTAAGTCACTGCTTGGCCCATTAGCTCTAACTTCTTATTGGCTAACTTTTACATCTTAATTTAACCCATTTTCATTAATCTGTGTATTGCCACATGGCTCTGGCTTACTGGATAAAGTTCTGTCTGACTCCAGTGGAGCCACATTGCTTCTCTTCACTCCGCCTTCTTTCTCCCAGCATTCAGTTTAGTTTTCCCTGCCAACTTATATTCTGCCCTGCGCGGGCCTAAGACAATTTCTTTGTTAACAAATGGTATTCACAGCATACAGAGGGCAATCCCACATCACTCTACTGCCTAGCTATTTGCTGTTCAGCTTTTTATTAGAACAATCAGGTGCCTAAGACAGGCAAGGTAAAATAGCAACACATCTTTACATAATTAAGCAAATGCAGCGTAAACAAATGTAGCACACCTTTGTCTAGTTAAACAAATGCAACATAAACAAATTAACACATCTTTACATAGTAAAATATTCCACAACATAAAAAAATGTAACACATCTTTATATAGTTAAAGTAATATTTCACAATGTAAGGTCTGATCTCCAGGGATGTTGGTAGGACCTCCAGAAATGCTGTGGTGTATTTACCAAAGAATATTGCCTAAACATGAGTTAAAGCCAGCAGAGAGTCTTTATTAGTCATTCAGCGACCACTGGGTGTCCTTTCTCGGGGTGATGGAGGAGGGCTGTCTATGTGTTGCTTTCATTGGTTAATAAAGAAACTGCCTTGGCTTTTGATAGGACAGCAGCTTAGATAGATGGAGTAGACAGAACAAAATGCTGGGAGGAAGAAGGCAATGAGTCAGTCGCCATGACTCTCCTCTCCGAGACAGCTGTAGGTTAGAATCCTCCCGGTAAGCCACCACCTCGTGGTGCTACACAGACTATTAGAAATGGGTTAGATCAATATGTAAGAGTTAGCTAATAAGAGGCTACAGATAATGGGCCAGGCAGTATTTAAATGAATACAGTTTCCACATAATTATTCAGGGGTAAAGCTAGCTGGGAGGAAGGCGGCGGGAAGCTGCCCACCGCTCCTTCTACATCAGGGTGAGCTTTGAAGCACAAAAACCGTATCTTAGGTTGACAGACTTCGGTTAACAAGAGCAGTCAGCCAGAGGCGGAACTACAGAAGCCAAAAAGCAAGCTTAGTACATTTAGAGAATTTCCCAGAACTATGGACTTTGATGGATTAGGTCTTTGTTTCATTTTGGCCAGTGGTGTTATCTACAAGCTAAGTTTTACAGCCTGAATGGTACTTCCATCATGGAGTCTGTTGTGAAAAAGTCTGGGGACCTGTTACAGTGCTGAGACATTTCACTTTTACAAAGATTGCAAGACATGTAACATTATTGCCCTGACTGTGAGCGGAAGCTAGCCTTGTTATTTTTTCAATTTTAAACAACACCTGTTGCATTTCCACATCAATATCAATAAGAAAAACACATGTGGAAGTTTTTTTTGACGCTGGGGACTTGTGAGAGAAACAGCGTAGTTACTTGGTAAAGTGCCTGAGGAAGGATCTCTAGCCTCCACGCACACCTGCACTCACACTCTCATGCGCAAACACTTGCACACACACAGTTCCTTAGCACCATATGTGGTGGTATACAGCTGTAACCCCAGCACTTAGGAAGCTGAGGCAATAGAATCAAAAATCCAAGGTCAGCCTGGGTTGCAAAGAAACACCTTGTCTCAAACACCAGATCACACACACACAAATAATAGATAGATAGGTAGATAGATGGATGGATGGATGGATGGATGGATGGATGGATGGATGGATGGATGGATGGATAGATAGATAGATAGATAGATAGATAGATAGATAGATAGATAGATAACTTTCTTTGTTAATCTTTAGGAATGTAAAGAGGTTTGGAGACTCAGTGTTTGAGAACTGCTAAGGGCTGACTATCCCTAATGGTTTGTATCCTTTCTCTTTAATGCATCCTGTATGACAATTCTTTATTCTCAATCCTGGAAGCCAGAGCACTGGCTGTTTTCCTGCTTTCACGGTGCAGTAGCTACAGGTTCTCTGGTGATCCAATTTTGGTTTGGGGTTTTAATATGTCTTCCAAACCACAGTGTTGGACATTCACTGACTTGAGCCACAGATCAGCCACCCCTGCTGCAAACCTGGACTTCTGCTGCCCTCAGCCTGCCCTACCCACACCCTCTGTTGGCGTTTTCTCTATTAAACTACAACCCTCTCCCTTCTCCCCACTTGCTCTCTCTCACACCTCTTTCTCTTTGGTCTCTCTCCCTTTCTCTTTCTGTTTCTTTTCTCTTTCCTTTCTTGTTTTTCTGGGTTTTTTTTTTGCCCCATCGTTCTTTTGTATCAGCATAATGATATGCTGATACAAAACTCTTTCTTGTTCCCTATAATTTCTCTATTAAGTACCTTTTTAAAATATAACTTTCTACAGCCAAGTCAATGATTCCACTGTTAATCAGATGAGGCTAAGACATCACTCTTATTTTCTGCCCATAGAGAAGAAAAAGGAGTCCAGTCTGTCATGTGTCTTGGTAACATAGGGCTTTGCTAACGACAGTCGTCAGCCTGGCAGTCCTGACAACTGACTGCAGCTCCTACTTACATTTCAGTCTTTCTATTTCGGTTTACTGCGCCCTCAGCTCCTGCTCTCCACTGTTCTCAAACCGTATTGTCTTCCGGAAGCAACCCTCACAGCTGTGGCCTCTGTTGACAAATTGTTTCATCTCCTCTGGGCCTTAAATTATTTTCTCTGAAGTGAAAAGTCACTGGATATTTCCAGAGACTCTTGGGGTCATCATTTGGTTTCTCGGAACTCTGAGTGGTTCCAGTCTCTCCCACCCTCTGCCCGCAGCCTGTCTCCGAGGACTCGCTCTTGACACTCCAACTCCCCTGCAGCTCTGCTGTAATTCCCAGAGTCCAGGGTTGGCTTTGTACTGGGATGACTTTCATGGTCTGGATAGTTGGTTTTACATAGAAGAACTTAACAATGACAAGTCTTAAATTCTTTAATAAAATCTTGCTGCAGATATATAAAGGTGGTTATTTCTATCTTATCATGATAATCAGTTCTTAATGTCTGGGGTGTCTCCCCTCTTGATCCTTCTTCTTGGATCATTTTTACCAGGGGCCAGGATGTTCTATGCTAGTTTTGCTTCACGCATAGAACCTTAGGACCTTAGGACCACAGTCCTGAAATCCCAGCTGTTTAAGAGGCTGAGGCAGGAGGATCACAAGTCTGAAGCCACGGAGCAGGTTCAAGGCCAGCCTGGGCAATTTACAGAGACCCAGTCTCAAAGCAGAGGTAAAAAGAAGGTTGGCACTGTGGCTAGCAGGGGAGCAGGTTGGCCATAGCCAGGGATAGTCGGGATCTTCTGGGCTAGCCTCCTCTTCCCAGCATTCTCTGTGTCCCTTGCTCCTCCCTAGCATTTGCATAACCCAGTTTAACAACCTGCTGTCTTTCTTCCTGTTTTGGCACCCACCATCCCCTCTTTATTCTCTGTTAAAGTAATAAGGGTATGTTCCGTTGCACTTGCCTAAGAGTCTTGTACTGAGCTTGGGTTTCCCGCCATCTGGGTCTGGCACAGTTGCAACTTCCCTTTGATGTTGTAATGCCTTTTCATTGAACTCGAGTGTGGCATTTATATGGCTTGTTTGCTTTAATTTTTTCTCCTAAGACATGCACATTTCTTTTCTTGAGCTTATTTTGCTGTTTTGTGCTGTTACTTTTAATTGCTTCTGACTAGGGATTGGGGCTGAGGGTGAGATCTGGCTTGAGTTTGCCTCTTTTTGGTATTACTCACACACTGCCCCCCCTCAAAGTCCCACATTCTTAGGAACTCTTAGGTCTCTCTCTCTCTCTCTCTCTCTCTCTCTCTCTCTCTCTCTCTCTCTCAATCTGACAACCCGTTCCTGTGAGGCCACTGATGCCGTATGCAGAGGACGTCAGTAGGAGATGCTCAGGATCCCAGCCCTGCGCAGTCATGAGCCTGGCCATCTGGAACTCGCCTCTTACTCAATGAAATGGAGTAAACATTGTCCATTATGAAATCCACCACGCAGGCTGCCAGAGACGAATGGGATCCCACCCAAAGCCAATCGCTGCTCTGACAGGGAAGTTGGCTAGTGCTGCCTGAGACTACTCCAGCCTCCCCCGTCCCTGATGTCACAATTCAGAGGCTGCTGCCTGCCTGGGAAGTTGTAGAAAGCTCTACAGGTTTCCTCTGTGTGTCCTACAGGGCTCCCTGAGCCAGATCCTTGTCTGATGGCATTCCTGAAAAAATACCTCCTCCCCATTCTGGTGCTCTTCCTGGGCTACTACTATTCTACAATAGAAGAGTTCAGACCTGGTGAGTACCAATGTGTCTCTTTCGGAGGAACAGGCTTAAAACAGAGGGGTGCTGGAATGTTCCTGAGGATCTAACTGAGTCACTGCGGAGGAGGGAGCCCTAATGTGGGTCTGTAACTCTGTGCCCTCCAGCTACAAGCTATGGGCAAGAAGGGATAGAGAAGAGTAAGCCACACAGCCAAGTAGGCCTTGCTTTGCTTGGCACCCAGCTTGGAAAGCAATTTCAGACCTACAGAAGTGAGACCCGCAGCTCAACTGAAGATATCTGTGTTTCATAGAGAGACCGATATCTGAGAGGTCAAAATGAAAAAATCAAAAGGTTTATGAAGTTGATGACCAAGCAGAAGGGGCTGAAATCTCTGTGAACACATTTGGCAATGCCTTTTTAAATTCCCTTTCAATTTAACAAAATTGAAAATCATGCTGAAAGTGTCAAACTCGGGCATTTTAGCCAAACTCTGACCTTTCTGGCCTTGTCTCTGTGCTGTCTGCACATGGAGGTTTTTCAGAAGAATGGCAGGAAGATTCGGTTCTGGACATCCAGGCCAAACCCAACTGAAGCGCCTGTTTATGAACAACTCCAAGTGTTGCTTCAGTTGCTTCAGACAATGTGAGGCAAACTGATCTGGGCTCACTGCCTTTCAGTATGGACAGTGAGACAAGGCTTTTGGGGGTACTCACAGCCTTTGTGGTTCCCAGAAATGCTCCAAGGGAAGAAAGTGATTGTCACGGGGGCCAGCAAAGGGATCGGAAGAGAAATGGCCTATCACCTGTCGCAAATGGGAGCCCATGTGGTGCTGACCGCGAGGTCAGAGGAAGGTCTCCAGAAGGTGAGCTTTCTGTACCCACATAAGTAAGTGCGCCCTCCTGTGCCCAGCTTTAGTCTTGCACAGATACACCAAGGCTTGTCCTCCTCCCTTATGGCTTGTTCTCTGATATACAGGCACAGATACTGACAGGAATATAGGACTGCTGCTTTTAAGCATACATACACACGTGTGCGTGCATTTACACTTGCATGCATGCGCACACGCGCATGCACAAACACACACACACACACACACGCATGCATGCATGTGCACAGTGATAGCCACAGAGTTCTCTGGCTGTGTATGTTCACAGTCATACCTGTTCACACACATTCCTCACGGACCTATGCAGATGCATGCATTCGGGGACTGAGATTCCTGTACCTGTTCATGCAATCACGTTGTCATGCCCCATAGACTCACAAACTTGAAAGTTCTAGGTCATACCCACATTCACAAGCCCCACTCCATCTCCATAGAAACCTGCACCCACGCCCATAACGCATTTTGAAACATCTGTTCATAAACTCTGCAGAGATGAATCATGGACTCAAGCTCTAACACAATAATGATTTATCCTTTTAAGATATGTCAGAGAACAATGATCATCTAAGAATATTTAAGAACTCCCCCCCCCCCGAATGCACGCACGCACACACACGGCTTCTTCTCTAAGCAGCTCTGAAAGCAAACTCTCATTTAAGCCCCAGTTACTCCAAAACTACACATGAAAGCCCACAGCCAAGATGGCCACCATTTCTGCTGTGTCTCTGTAGGTGGTGTCTCGCTGCCTTGAACTCGGAGCAGCCTCTGCCCACTATGTGGCTGGCACCATGGAAGACATGACGTTTGCAGAGCAGTTTGTCCTCAAAGCAGGAAAGCTCATGGGTAAGACTCCCCCCTTCCCTTTTCCTCCTCTAGTCTCAGAGCGTTTCAGGAGTGGGAAAGGAACAAGATAGACCCTGAGTGGTCTCTCTCAACCCAGGCATCTCTCTGCAGGTGGATTGGACATGCTTATTCTCAACCACATCACTTACACCCCTGTGGGTTTCTTCCGCGATGATATCCACTCTGTGCGCAAAGCCTTGGAGGTCAACTTCATCAGCTACGTGGTCCTGAGTGCCGCCGCCTTGCCCATGCTGAAGCAGAGCAGTGGCAGCATTGTTGTGGTCTCCTCCGTAGCTGGTGAGTGCATCGGGGGCAAGGAGGGCAAGGGTAGACACTGAGAATGAAATAACGCCGGGATTATACTAGGCTCTGTGACAAGGCAAGGTGATATTATGCAAAATCCAATAGAACACAAACAGGTTCACTTGTGAGGGACTGGGGGTGTAAACTCAGCGAGGGACACAGATGTTGAAGAAAAGAGACACAGAGGAACGAGTAGCCCCCAAAGTAAGGATTGGTCAAAGTAGGACTACAAAATCCCTGAGAGGAACCAACAAAAGCAGCAGTCCAGGATGCCCAAGGGAAATCTGATGTGTGAGTCAGGTCTGGGAGAGGACAGGGACAGGAAGAGCCCCTAGGGCACAGCAGTCCTGTCTCTTCATAAGAGAGACCTGGCCATATTGGATGGGAAAGACACAGGGTGGTGAGGTCAGTGGAGACAAAACCGAAGTAAGAATAAAACACCTTCAGGACATACGGTGAGATGGTTAGCTAGGGAAAAACGAACTGAAGGCTAACTATGGAGAGGAAAATTGTTCAAGAACAGTGGTTTCCCAACCTTCCTAATCTGCGACCCTTTAATACAGTTCCTCATGTTGTGGTGACCCCCCAACCATAAAATTATTTTGTTGTTACTTCGCAACTGTACTTTTGCTACTGCTATGAACATCAATGTAATTATTTGATGTGCAGAATATCTGATATCGTGTGGCACAGGACTGAGGGTGCTTGCCCAGCATGCACCAGCCTTGGTGTTAGTCCCCAGTACTGTGGGGAGAGGGCTGGGGTATCAGTGTATGCTGAGTACATTCTTCTAAATCTCAATCTGTAGCATTAAAAATAAAATTTAGTTTGAGCTTGGTGACACACGCCTTTAATCCTACCACTTGTGAGGCAGAGGTAGGTGGGTCTCTGTGAACTCAGGGACAGCCTGGTCTACAAAAGGAGTTCTAGGCCAGTCTAGTCTATATACTAAGACCCTGTCTCAAAATAAAGGGTAATATTTAAACAGGTTAAGAAATATGTGCAAAGAAATGATCTCATGGATAGAGAGAGCATTGTGGCATGGAGGGAGGTCCCCAACGTTTTGCCTGGTGGCAGCATCCTACGGCATCACTGAGAGTCTCCAGAGGTGAGGATTCCTCCTGAATTCAGGGAAGAAGTCCTACATGTTTGTTGATGAGTAAAGGTGTGGTTGAAAGGTCAGAACACAGAGATATAAACCAGCCTTATAAACGTAGTTCTTCGGATATAGAAAACAAATGAGCCAGGAGACTATGGGCTGTTAAAATAGTTCACGAATGTCAGTCCCCCTTGAAATGAATAAGGCCGTTCGTCGGTGTGGTAAAGCAACCTCCTTTCTGGCCCAGGGGAGGCCTGCCTGCTGACTGGATAAAGGGACAGTGTGTCTGTGTGATTGATATGCACCCCTGTGCCTCCAACCAGCATAGAGGCAGGCCCCTCCTCGCCCAAAGACATGCTGGGCTGAAAGCAAAGGGGAGCTTCCAGATGCATACTGAGTGGGAGGGTGTTGGGCACATCCCCAGCGAGTCCTTTGCACTGGCCAAGGTCCGCCGCCCCATACATCGGTCATGGTGTGGGTGGCTCTAATGATTCCTGATTCCGGTCGTGAATGGAGACATACAGTCCAAGCAAAAGCTGCTTCACCTTTGCCTAGAGAACGTAACTTTTACAATGTATATCATCTTAATGTGCTTGGAAGGAGCAAGGATCACTGTAGACCCTAAGGGTCTGATGGAATTCTGACAACCGATGTTTCTGTACATCACAGGCACATGCAGAGTGACACTTAGTAACTCCCAGGGGCTCTAGGAGGTAGAAATAGGGTTGTGCAGTGCTCCCTGTGTCTATCATCTGTACAGCCCAGAGTTCAGCCTTCTTGCTTTAAATCACATCTCTGAATTTACAAACTAACTTCTCACCCTCACAGAAGAGCATTGTGTTCCATGGTGTGCATGTGTGTAGTGCGTATGTAATGTACGAGTGTATGCTTGCCAGAGGCTGACATCAGGTGCCTTCTCCAATCCCTCCCCACCTTCCTTTTAGGAGTCAGGGTCTCTCACAAGAACCTGGAGCTCACTGATTTGGTGAGACTGGCTGGCCAACAAGCCCCAGGGGTCTGCTGTCTCCTCCTCTACAGTGTTGGGGTTTATAAATGTATGCTCGGCTTTTTTTGATGTTGTGGTGGGGGCCTGCACTCAGGGTCTCATGCTTAAATGGCAAGCATGCGAACTGACAGAGCCATCTCCCAGCCCTGGTGTCTTCTTCTAAGACATCAGGGAGTGTGTTCAGTTATCTTTACTTCTGAAACTCTGAAACTCACAAACATCTCATTAAAGAGCAAACTGACCCTGAGGTCAGAAGAAGGAATATACTGAGTTAGAGTTGTAATTACTTCCAGTGCGTTTGGTTTTCTCGCTGAGTAACAACACGGAGCAGTCGTTTTCCTAATGCATTTCTGGGCATTACTTCACAGTGCACTTCTTTCTTTGGGCTTGGCTGTGTCCTCAGTCCTCTCAGAGGTGGTGCTGGTGCACCCCCAGCTCAGCACGGTTTCTGGCCCTACTGAACAAGTTCTTGTCTTTATCACAGACTGTTACGTTAATCAGTCTCTCCTTCTCCCACCATGGTCTCTTAAAACCTAAGTATAGCTCCTCTAACTGAGGTCCAGATTTACCATGCCTTAAGCAAATCTAAACTCATTTTCTACTATGAACAGCCTGGGGCAGGCAGCCAAGGCCGGGAGGGTAGTCCTTACCCCATGAAGCTATACAGCAACCAGCCGAGTCGGTACTACCAATTCTGTGGTGTTACGTTCATCTCCATGTCCAAGAAGGCTTGCTGTTATGTCTGAATTCTAGCTACAGATAATGAAGGACACATTCTGAAATCTGTAACCCATCGGCCACAGCAGGCTGCAGATGGGATCTGGTCAATATTCAACCAAGTATCAGGGTTTCTCTTTCTACAGAAGAACACAAATTTTGCTGAATCACTCCCTCCCACATAACCCATGCCAGGAAACAGATAAGAGCAGAAGAAAATGATTCAAGCATGCCTGTAAATTCCAGCACCCAAGACACTGAGTCAGGAGGATTGCCACGAGTTCCAGGCCATTCTTGGTTACAGACTGAAACTTGGTCTCGAAAAAAAATTAAAAAAAGGAAGAAATGGAAGGGAAAGGAAGGGAAAAGAAGAGAAAAGAAAAGAAAGGCTACAAGAAAATGTCCTCCCAAACCCATTCTATTATAGTCAAGGCTACCACATGAGTGAATTCCCACCTCGCCACAAAACATGATGAAGAGGACAGGCAGGAAGGAGGAGGAATGGAAAAAGCATGCCCAGCTGGTATTTCTGAAACTGAGAGCTAGTACCTAAATTTTACTTTAAAAAAATCACTGGCTTTGAAGAAAACACTAGAAAATATGTGGGAAAAGTCTATCTGTCCTTGGATAAAGTGACTACTCTATGTTTTGTTCTAGAAGGTAAAACTGACTCCACTTTTGAGTCCCCTGGTTCTGTGGGCTCCATAACCATGACCCATTGTGCCAATCACATGCATGGCGCAGGAACTGGTTCTGTGGGCTCCATAACCATGACCCATTGTGCCAATCACATGCATGGCGCAGGAACTGGCATCTGTGCCGCTTTCCAAGTCCTCCTTAATGTGTGGTCTCTCTGAGGAGTCAGGGACAAGTCCATCATCCCTCCCTCCATCCTTTGCTCCGCTCCCTAAATCTGTCTACACCCATGTCACGGTCTACCCCATGTATGTCACGGTCTACCCCATGTATGTCACAGTCTACCCCATGTATGTCACAGTCTACCCCATGTCACGGTCTCCACCATGTATGTCACAGTCTACCCCATGTATGTCACAGTCTACCTCATGTATGTCACGGTCTACCCCATGTATGTCATAGTCTACCCCATGTATGTCACAGTCTACCCCATGTATGTCATAGTCTACCCCATGTTTGTCACGGTCTACCTCATGTATGTCACAGTCTACCCCATGTAACGGTCTACCCCATGTATGTCACAGTCTACCCCATGTCATGGTCTACCCCATGTCACGGTCTACCTCATGTATGTCACAGTCTACCCCATGTATGTCATGGTCTACCTCATGTATGTCACAGTCTACCCCATGTATGTCACGGTCTACCCCATGTATGTCACAGTCTAC